AACGGATGTCAACATCCGTTTAAGGGAAAACGGATGTCGACATCCGTTTTCCCTTAAACGGATGTTGACATCCGTTGACGAATGCTCACATTCGTTTAAAGATTATACGGTTTATATTTTAGGTTTTATTACGCACCTTCACGCCCTCTCACGCCTTTGAACCAGCACCTTGAAACACCATCACAGTCACGGCTGAAGATGAATTGCTTTCCCCACTTTCAATCTTACTAAATACAAAGTCCACCACACTCTCACGTCACAATTCTATAAAAGAGAAGAAGAAGTGAAACATGAGAGACAACCAAAGAGATAGTGGAACGTAAGAGACAACCTGAGAAAAATAATAAAGAGAAAGAGGGAAGAATGATAAAGAGAATGAATGTACGTGAGATTTTAAATAATATTAACCCTAAAATTTTAATAAGGGTAAAATAGGAATTAAAAAATAAAGAAAAGGGTAAAAGGGGAATGGGGTGGTGGAGGAAGCAAGTTGTGGTGGTGGAGGGAGTAACACCCTTCCAACTTTTGGCAATTCCTCTCTGTATCAATCAATTTCTACTTGCACCCCCATCATTTTTTAAAAAAATCCACTTTCATTTCAAATCAATTTCGTTTTAAATTCCACTTTTAAATTTCTATAAGAATTTAAAATAATATATATATTGTTTACATCAATAATATTGTAAATAAATAAATTATAATATTATTAAAGTTTGTTTTTCTATTCACAATTATTATAATAATATCAGCTATATTTATTATTATAAATAAGACTAAATATTATGAATAAAAATATTTTTATTATTACTAAAATAATAATATTATTATTGTTAGTTTTATTGTTGTAATTACTATATCATTTATTTTAAATATTTTAAATATTTTAATTTGCAAACAATTACAAGAAAGAAATAAATAAAGTATAAAAAAAAGAGATGAGAAACTTTTCTTTTATAATAAATATCATCCTAACCTATTTTGTTATTCATAATATCAATGGAAGCATCAGAACATATCCTATCATTAAAATTGTTCATTATTTCAGAATATAATGAACAGACGATTTCACGTTCATAAGATTAGACAAGGTGATAAATTATTGAACATGATCGACATTTGAAAAACACAAACACTGCTTGGATAAACATCAAACACAACAACAGCACAAACAAACAACGTCACAGACTACAGACACTGTTTATTTCATTTTCACTTTCAGATGAAACCACAGAGAATTTAACGCCATGCTCAACGGCTCATGCCACCTTCCACTTCCGGTGCTGAAGTAACGCCACGTGTATACATTTGCACATTCCCTTCCCACCCTATGCATGCAACAACAAACAGCTCATGAAGGAAAATTATCAGAAACATTAAACAATTTTTTAGCAGTTAATTAATTACCAGCAGAGATGTCAAATCCACGAACTTTGAGCTCCCGATACTCCTGGCAAATGGCTAAATGGAGGCAAAGAAAACTGACCAAACAATCTTTACAATGGTGTCCCTCTATCCCGTACACCTCTCTCAGTTTCGCACGATACAACCACGCGTAGATACACCCTCCCAGTTGAGTCAAACCAGCTAGTAGATAGAACAGTGATCCATGAAAACAACAAGCTGCACTAACAAGAATCATTGCACAGAAACAGAAATTAAGAAAATATAATAAAGGGTCGTAATTTATTAGGTCAAATCACACACTTACAAGTTTTTCCTTTGTCCAGAATCTCAGCTACCCTTCCAAAGCTAACACAGGGGCACCAAAGAGTGAGACAACCTGCGGATAAAAGACTGAAGATCATAAATGAAGGTAGCTTAATCTGTTTGATATGGTTAAAGATAATGGAAGTGGAAAAATGAGTTGATACAAGAACCGCAGTCTGAGAAGCAGTCGCATAAACCAGTGGACCATGATCCATCGGCAACCTTCTCAGACATTTTTTAAGGGAATCTGTGATACTGTGGTGAAGCATGGCCTCAATGATTGCTGTTAAATACAGGGAAGCCAAGGAAAAATACAAATCTCCTTTTTTAATACCCTATATTAATTATGACGTGTATGATAAAAATATTTTTTGTTTTAAATCTGTATTGTTTGAATTTGAGTTATACCAATACTAGTATACATACAGGACCACAACTGATGCGAATAGTTCAACCTTGTGATTCTTCTTGAACATTGTACTTACGCAGGTTTGGAGCTTTGTGTGGAGGGAAATGTTGATAGCTGGAATATAACAATAAATATTTTTTATCATGTATTTGCCAAATGCTGAATCTGATTGCCCATCAGTTTTTGTTTCTTCACTGTGCTAGCACCACTAAACCAATGTCACATGACTTTGTTTACAATAATTTCTTTCATATAATTCACCTTATTAAATTCATCGTTCACTTCTTTTATAGTTTAGAACACATATCCAACCACCTAATTCAAGACATGAAACTAGTTTCATTTATTCACTTGTATAAAAATTATAGGCATCAATCAGTATTTTAAAAGAAAAAAAAAAGTCCTAACCAGGATGATAACCTGAGAAATTAGTGTTGGACAATGCAAGAAAACTTAGAAGTTTGTTATTGGTTAAAATCATTAACCTAAAATTTAATATAGTAAGTTTGCGAGATTTTTTTTATATATTTTTTTGACATAAAATTAATTATTAATATGTTATAGAATACACTTAGAGGGAACATTTACAGATATTGATTAACATACAGGAAAATGTATATATTTTTAATAATTTTTTTAACAATTTTTTTACAATCGCTTATGTGCTAGTTCAGTTCATTTTAAATATACGGACCAATAAAAAGTAACACATAATCTATTGTCAAAAAATTGTTAAAAAAAGTTGTTAACATATCATGTCCTACCATATAAGATGCACTTAATAATATGATGTGTTAAGAAAGAGAAATATTGAAAGAAAGAACAAAATGTATACATAATAAGGGTGTGGATGTATCATTGTCTCTGTATATATGCAACCATCTTAAGTTTAAGGTGGATTTCTTTCTATTGAAATAGATTTTTTTTTAAGTGTCTATATATGTTTAACTAAAACTCATTGAGAAAACTTTCATACAAGTAATCTGCAAACCTAAGATGTATCGACCATATCATTATATTGTTTAAATACATTACTTAGTGATAAACTTTCAACTTTTGAATATCATTCATTGAATAATATTTCAAAGAAACATGAAAAAAATATACATCAATAGATTACAAACAAATCACATAACCGTTGTATTCAGATGATATTTTCATTTAGAATTTAATTAATTTATCAGTAGGTGTTATAACTGAATTTGAGTTTTGATATGGAATTGAGCTTATTATGAATTGTTACATTGATATTGAATCTGGAATCACAACTTAAGTTAGACTTGAAATTGAATTTGGAATTTCAATTAAATTTGGCTTCCATTTTAGTTTTATTTGAATTTCGATAGCAGGTCCGCGCTGGATTTGCAGTAATAGTTCTTAGTTTTTTGGTTTTTCCTTTCATTCATGATTTAATTGTTGAAATTTCTTGTCCCCGTGCATTGAATCTATCCTTTATAAATTCCATGAACAAAACAAAAAGGTATCCAACATATCTCAATCTTTTGAGTATTTTTTCTGAAATGTCTTATAACAGATCATACCAAATAAACATATCCAAGGACTGGCATGGGTGCAAATAAAAAAGTACCACTGGTGAAACATACTAAAAAGTAATCTAATTGTTACAAACAATGTTTAAGGTTCTACATTGTTTCTGCATTTTGCTTCCAGGCTGAAAATGATGCAATAGTACAAGAACTTGAATAGAATTGAATGCGACGCTTAACTCAACGGCTCATGCCACCTTCCACCGCCGGTGCTGAAGTCACGCCACGCGTTTGCATTTGCACATTTCCATCCCAACCTATACATGCAAACACAATCACTTACAAACAACTCGTTATAAAACTAATTAATAAGTGTTTAAGACTTAATTAATTACCAGAAGACATGTGAAATCCACGGGCTTTGAGCTCACGATACTCCTGGCAGATGGATAAATGGGGACAAAAACAACTGACTAACAATCAGTACAATGGTTCCCTCAATCAAAAAAAACCCCATACGCCATCCCTCAATTTTGCAACGATTACACCCACGAATAATACAGCCTCCCACATGAGTAAAAATAGCAAGAATAATAGAACAGTGATCCGTGAAAGAGAACAGCTGCATTAACCGAAAATCAATTTACTGAAAAAATTAAGAAAAAAGTATGGTTGGTGGAAGTTAATTATGAGGTGAATCACACACTTACAAGTTGACCCTTTGTCCAGGATCTCCGCCACCCTTCCAAAGCTAACGCAGGGGCACCAAAAAGTGAGACAACCTGCGGATAAAAAAGAGTAAAGATCATGAAAGTAAGGTAGTTTAATCTTTTGTATGCTATATATATTATACGGTGAAAGATAACGGAAGAGGGAAAACGAGTTGATACAAGAGCTGCAGTCTGAGAAGCAGTCACATAAACCAGTGGACCATGAGCCATAAGCAACCTTCTCGGTCATTTTTTCTGTGAGTGTGGCTATGGTGTGTGAAGGATATTATATACATGAAGAAGGGAAGGTCACGACAAAGAATTATTAGGTACTGCGGACTAAATGGCGTCAATGCATTGATGTAGATTTAAACCGATCATGTTTGAAAAGGATCAAAATTAATTTAAATTGAAAAAAACACACGAAAGTAAATAATTAAACTTTTGTTGTAGATATTCTGAAAAAAATGAATAATCAAGGTATATTTAATGATTACATTAATAAAAAAAAAACTATATTTTTGAATAATTGTGTTGAGTGATGTAAACTTATCTTCTTTAGAAGAACTAGTATTTATTTAAGAAAATGTAGATGGGAATCAAAACGGTAAGAATTTCTGTGAATAAGAACATCTATAAATGATGATGCCATAGAGAGCTACAAAGAAGAGCAGCTTAACACGTATTACCTATTTTATGTGAACACAACAGCTATTATAATCATATGGCAATGGGAATAATGGTAGTTTACAAAGGTGCTTCGTACAAAATCACGTTTGGTTGTATTATGCACTTTCAATAATCATATCCCATTATAATAAAGTGAATTGTGACCATTACAAGCAGTGGTGAAAGCACTTACCACTATTCACCCCCACACCCCCCCACACCCCTCCCCCCACCCACCCCACCCCCCCCCTTCCAAGAATTGAGTATATACTTAAATTATTTCATTGCAGTTGGAGTCATGTGAATGTTAGTGAATCGACAAGATTTAGTAATTGGAATGATAAAATAAGTGGGGGGGGGGGGGGGGTGGGGGGGGGGGGTGGGGAGGGGGGGGGGTGGCGGGGGGGGGGGTGGGGGGGTTAGGGGGTGGGGGGGGGGGTGGGGGCGGGGGGGGGGGGGGGGGGGGGGGGGGGGGGGTGGGGGGGGGGGTGGGAGGGGGGGGGGGGAGGGGGGGGTGGGGGGGGGGGGGTGGGCGAGGGGGGGGGGGGGGGGGAGGGGGGGGGGGGGAGGGGGGGTGTGGGGGTTTGTGGGGGGGGGGTTGGGTGAGGGGGGTGGGGCGGGGTGGGGGGGGGGGGTAGGGCGGGGGGGGGGGAGGTGGAGTCGGGCGGAGGGAGTGGGGGGTGGGGTGGGGGGGGGGGGGGGGTGGCGTGGGGGGGGGGGGGGGGGGGCGGGTTGATGGGGGGGGGGGGGGGGGGGGAGGAGGGGCGGGGTGGAGGGGGGGGGTGGGGGGGGGGGGGGGGTTCGGGCGGGCTTGGGGGAGGGGGGGGGGGGGGGGGGGGGGGTGAGGGGCGGGGGGGATGGGGGGGGATGGGGGGGGGGGGGCGGGTGGGGGGGGGGGTAATGGGGGGGGTGGGGGGGGGGTGGGGGGGGCGGGTGTGAGCGGAGGGGGGGGGGGGTGGGGGGTGGGGGGGTCGGTGGGGAAGGGAGGGGGGGGGGGGGGGGGGGGGGGTGGGGGGCGGGGTGGGGTGGGGGGTGGGGGGTGGGGGGGGGGGGAGGGGGGGGGGGGGGGGGGGGTGGGGGGGGGTGGGCGGGGCGGGGGAGGGGGGGGGGGTGGGGGGTTGGGGGGGGGGGGGGGGGGGGGGGGGGGGGGGGGGGGGGGGGGGGGGGGGGGGTTGGTGGGGAGGGTGGGGTGGGGTCTTGTGGGGGGGGGGGGGGTGGGGGGGGGGGGGGGGGGGGTGGCGGGGGGGGGGGGGGGGGGGGGGGTCGTGGTGGGTGGGGTGATACATTCGGGGAATCAATTTATTTTATATTATAAAGAACTTCTATAATAAGAAAGTATTTTTTAATTTTTATTTAGTTTAAAATTTGTCTTTTAAACATAGAAAATGTGTTCTTGTTTAATTGAAATATATGAGAGCATGAGCTATTGAAAATAAATTTTTTAAGTAATTAATAAAAGTCAGAATTTTTTATTTTGTAGAAATTGATAAGCTTTTCTTAAAACTTTATAAATGTTCAGATTAAAAAAATTAACTATAATGTAAGAATGGAAGATTCGATAGAACATAGACACTATCATATGGACCTCAAACTTAATTTAGATTATTTTCCTGAAACAATGAGAGAGTAGAGGTAATTAATTGAAGTAGTTTTCATCAGCATATCTTTAGGACAATAATAAGGAGAATAGAATTAATTACATTGATCTTTTTCAAATAACTTGAAAACCTTACTGACATGAACTAAATTAAAATTAAAATGAAATAAATTTTTGAACGTTTTAGAAAATGTATAATTCCGAAATAATTTTAAAATTGTATTTTGAGAATAATTTATTTATACTGTGTGTTCTAAACGCATGATAATAATAATTATCATAATAATTATAATAATGTAAAGGACGCTATATATTACGATATTATGTGGGTACAATAAAACTAATTTCATATTTTGAGAAAAAAAATGTAGTTTCTTTTTTTACAGTAATGAAAAAAAAC